CCCCAAAACCCCAAAACCCCAAAACCCCAAACTCTAAACTAAATATTGAAAAAATAGAGATAAATACATCACTATTTCCCATAAAATTTGATCAACTTTTGCAGAAAAGGTCTTACTTGTCCATACATTTCTTCTTGGCTTGTTTGGGTGTCTCTATTCTGGTATTGATTCTTGAATGAATGTCTTTCAAACTCCTCATTAAACTTGAATTAAAACTATATATGCCTTTTAGTAATGTTTAAGCTATTTTAGAGCATGGGGTAATCCTTATGTGTAGTACAGATATCCAAAATGTTGTCTTTCTGGCCAAAATCCGACTGTAGATATCTTTAAAAGATGTCTATCCTGACTCCTGTTGGAGCCCTGTGATTAACAAGAGATTACTACTTATTGTATCTACTAGCCATCACTTTCTAAGTCATTTTCTGAACTAAATGGGTCATTTTTGACTATAGCTTTCAACTGAGAACTCCTTAATCTCTGGGTCTCACTTCGGTGCTCTTTTATGAACCTCTTTATACGAGAATTCAGGAAAGTTTTTAGCTTGCTCTTTTCAAGAATCTTCGTGTGAAGAGTAGGTTAGCCTACGCATGGTTAAACAGAGTATCGTTTAAGAGGACTTCAATGATGGGAGGCTTGTTTACTCCTGCTGCAGAAAGTGTCTCATGAATTTTATTACTAGTTTTTATAATCTCCTCTCATTTTCATGGCTTGGTTGGATCAGCATTTCTTCTACATTTTTTATAAGTAATAGCTTTGGAGGAGCATCATTTTCCTTCTTCCCTTGAGCTTTCCCTTTAGGATTCTTGGACTGGTTATAAAGTCTAACTCCTGAGGGGAGTCTTTAAGAGGAATTTGATTTCTCCCTACTGGTAATTGGCTTATTGTCTCCTCTAGATCCTACCCTTGTGTCAATACTTTCTGTATTCGATATTTGCATATCCGGTGATGTAAGTGTTATTAAAGATTATTCTTATTGCTCTTAGTAGCTGCTATTAAAGTATTTACTGGCTCGCCTTCAGTATTATCCAACGAAATAGGTCAGGATTCAACTCTTGAATTATCTCCTTCTTTCCCTGCCTTACTCTTTAGCATTCCATGAATTTTGTTCGAAATTCTTTTTCCACCGTTAGGTATCAGGTACATTGATAGCTTATTTTTAATAGTAGTTTTTCTGAGAACTTGAATAGCAGTGTTCTTCATCCCTGAAGTATTCAAAGCTTCACTTGTAGAATCCTATTTAACCCAATTAGCATCCCACCATTTATACTAGACAAAGCCAAAGCTTAAATAAAATGCTGAATATCCCTAATAGTTTACTCTCAAAAAAGGACTTATTACCAATCTTGAATTATTTGATTGTTTCTTCTTAGTAATCTTAAAGTCTTTCCTGCTATCTCTTCGATTAGTGACAGTTTCTATGATACTCTCGGAGCTCTGAGCAGTTTTCTTCTCTGAGTTCTTCCTTAGGATCTAATGGTTTTACATTTCTATCACCAACAGAATCTTGTTTGCTCTCATCACGAGGAGTGCTATCGTTCCTCTCTATTGATTTTGTTACGTTGCACGAAATTGAGTTAACCACCAATTTTTACTATTCTGATGATGAAACGAAGGTGGTCCAGAGGGCCGCCATTGGCTCTATTTTCATGTCATAATCCACTCTAAGGGACCTTCTTCCCTCTGCTTTTGCCCATTTGTTGTAATCGAGGTCTGCTTCGGGAGTGTTGTCCATCAAAGTCTCGATTTTTTCCTCAAGCTCCTTTGTCCAGTTGAGAGCTAGGTCAAGAGCCTTCATGTTATCCTCAACTTGAGAGACCTTAGAAGCTCCGAAGATACAAGTGCTGGTATCTTTGTTGACTAGAGTCCAAGCGAGGCACAGTTGAGCCATTGACACATTATTCTCGTCAGCTATCTCCTTCAGACCATTAAGAATTCTGAGGGTGTTTTCCTTAACTTTAGGACCAAAGTATTTTTGGAGAATTACACTTGATACATAAGCATTGTCTTTGTATCTTGTATCCTCGGGAATGTTACCATCATTGTACTTTCCTGTAAGAATACCTCCAGCAAGAGGAGACCAGATTGTAGTACCATATTTGTAGGTCTCATATGAATGTCTCAGATTTTTCTCAAAGTTTGTCCTCATTAGGGCACTGTATTCGCATTGATCGCAGATGGGTTTATGTAACTTCAATCTTTTGCATATCTCCATGGCTTCTGCGATTTTAGCAGCGCTCCATTCAGAAGTAGCCCAGTAGAAGGTAAGTCCTTCATCAATGGCCCAGTTCATAGCCTTAATAGTTTCTTCTAGAGGAGTGTTCTCGTCTGGTCTATGACAGAAGAGCACATCAACATACTCTACACCGAGTCTGTCAAGAGAGTTTTGGACAGCTTCTGTAATATGTTTCCTACTTAGGAAGGTTCCATTCACATCAGCTCCACACTTGAAGATCTTAGTGGTGAGGACAATATCTTTCCTTTCGCAAGGAAGTTCTTTGATTGCTTTTCCCATGATCTTCTCTGCTTCACCATCACCATAAATCTCGGCAGTATCAAAGAAGTTTACACCAAGTTCGTATGCCTTCTTGATACACTCGATCTGGGTCTCTTCAGCTTTGGGGTCATGGCCGGTAATCCAGTTCCCAAAGCCCAAGATTGACACTTTGAGGCCGGAGTTACCCAAATATCTGTACACCATTTTGGATTCGGATCCTGTAGATTCCATTATTAAAAGATATGAATATTTATTGTCAATGGTTTGAGTCTTTATGGGGTTTTGGGGTTTTGGGGTTTTGGGGTTTTGGGGTTTTGGGG